AATGTCATCAAAACCACAGCTTCATAAGAAAGCATTAACATCTCCATATGTTAGCACTACGGATATCATCGTACGTTTATAGAAATAGTACAATAATGGCACAGTTTACTAGCATCTAACCCCTAAATATTTTAGCGAACAGACGTTAGTGGAAAAATTAGTTGGGATGAAGAGTGGCTAGACTATTGTCCAATAGAGTATACCGCTCAAATAGTTTTTAATAGTGCAACAAAAGCTCAACCAGAGTGGGCTGATGATCCTGATCCGTAAGTAAAACTGAGTAAATTGTCTGTATGAGTGATATAAATTCACTATTATCTTTTTTACTTTGCAGGCAATCAGTTAAAGGCTTTAACAGAAGAGACGGTGAGATCGATCGCAGAAGTCACATAGGAACATATGAAGTTGATTTGAAATATAAAGATCAACCAGACATAACTTATCCACGTAATCCTGGTAGGTTATTCATCCATTGTGCAGCCATTTGCTCAATCAGCTATTATCCGTGTTTACTGTTTCTTCTTTTGCTTATACTTATTAATAAACTCAGATTTATTTGTCTATTTCAGTTGGTCGAACGGGAATGCGTGGACGAGGATTACTCGGTCGATGGGGTCCGAATCATGCAGCAGGTGAAAATTCATTCTGTTTTTCTTAAATAAACAAATTAATTTTTTCGAAAATAGACCCCATTGTTACAAGATTGTCGAAAGTTGCCGGTAAAGGAGTCGTCTTAGAATTTATTGGTATAAAGCGAAAGGATACGGGTGAAATTGCACTGCCTGGCGGGATGGTTGATCTGGGTGAACCAATATCAGTAACCTTGAGACGAGAATTTGAAGAAGAATGTTTGAATTCACTTGAAACAGCACCACATTTAAGACAAAATATTGATGCTTTGATGAGAGAACAGCGTCCGGTAAGTAATACACACAAACAAAAGAAGAATAACTATTTAAAAAATGTTTATCATTCGAATAAACATTTCTTTGTTTCTTTCTTTCGTACAGATTTACAAAGGTTATGTTGATGATCCACGTAATACTGGTAAGCAAATATGAATTGAATTTTAATTTTATTAACTCCAATTATCTTTTTTTCATCTTACAGATAACTCATGGATGGGTAAGTTTCACGCGTCTTTGTTTGATCTAAACTTTATTATATTCTAAATATTTTAGAAACAGAAGCGGTCGAGTTTTTCGATAAAAATGGCGACTTGACAAGAGATCTCAAACTTGAAGCTGGTAGGTTGAACAGAATTTATTATTATTGTAGCGTTGCCAAAATCGGAATAAGCCTTAAGAGTACTCCTTACCCTTTTAAGGCTTTCCGTAGAAATATTATCAAGCATAAACTAATAATGACAAAGCCTTCTCCATTCCAGGACTAGCTGAAAACTCAATGGAACATCTTTTCATTTTTGTTGCAACTCTCTAGCTGTCAAGGTTCTCGAGTTTTCTAGAAAAGTCAATTTTGGATATCGTTTCATTACAGCTTCCCCCCTCCGATAACTTGATCCAATCGACCTCAAAACTTTATCATAAATACTGGATAACATTGCCCAAGTATAGATGTTTTTTTCGTTCCATCATCTTTTCCTTTCGAGTTATAGCAAAAACATCTTAAAATCCAGGTTTTGCAATCTTAAAAGTCCTATAACTCGAAAAGAAAAGATGATAGAACGAAACAAAAATCTATACTTGGGCAATGTTGTCTAGTATCTATGATAAAACTATCGAGGAGTCGTAATGTGACTGGATTGAAGGTACTGTTGAAAAAATACACAGTAAGAAAAACACATTTTGTGTGTAGATCGTTTTCTTTATGGCATTTGCGGTGACGCTTATATCTCCACGAAAGATCATCGGAAAATTTTGGAAGACGTCTCATTGTGAAGAGACCACTTTCTTCAATCAGACTATGTATAAGAAAAAAATTTGAATGTACGGGAAAAGAGAGAAAAGTTTATGAACCTAAAAGATCGAGTTTTATTAGGTTTTGAAGGAAAAACTTAAAAAATTCATAGTATTTTTAAGGAAGATCATGGAATGCTAGATAAGATTTATTTTTACTTAAGAGTAGGATATCACAAAAACGAACAAAAGACTTGTGGCATTCGTAGATACCCTGTGATAACCTAAAACTAAAAATTTAAAAATATAAAAAAGTAAACAAAATATCATTATTAAAAGGCTGTGTAACCTCTCAGCATATTTTTAAATGTGGCTAAAGAAGTTTGACAGGCTAAAACAGAAGGTAGTTTATCCCAATCTTTTGATGTTCGCGGACGAAAAGAGCTAGATGCAGATTTTGATATTAAACGAGGAATTAACACGCGACTATCATGGCCTAATCGAGAACTTTGACGCATCGTTAACCGTGAATTCAGATCAAACGAGAGAGGAC